TAGCGAGACTGCGCTGCGGGACTGCGGCGGGCATTCTGACACTGGGGGGGGACTCACAAAAATTACTTCTAATAGACGGGGCCACTGGACATGTATAGTGTGCTAGCCCCAAAAGAAAGGAAAAAAAGGGGGGAAGCAGCTGTCTCTTCTCTGGAAACCCAAAGCAATATACTAAATAAAAAGATTTAAACAGCGCTCCCCAACACCCTATTAGTATACATATACCAAGATATTATAGGTATACAGACTGTAGGACACTGTCATACCCAATGTATATGTAGTGCCTTCTAATTTAGGTAGGGGTTTTTTTTTGCTTAGTTAGACGCTTGCTAGAAGCCTGGGTATGAGTCAGCGAGGTCACTTCAGGTTAGGCTGGGAGGCTCTCTCACTCTTCTAGAAACTTCTGACACTCTCTAGAAGAAGGACGGAGGAGGCCTAGTTTGCATGTTTAAGGGAACCTGGCCAATCCCTAGGCAGGAGGCCTGGCATGGTGGCTAGAACAACCCTTAAAGGTTGTTTAGAGAGCCTGATCAGCAGGAGTTGGAGTAGAGTGGAATATGTTGTGAGGAAGGAGCTGCTGGCCTGGAGCCTGGGAGGGTGCCCCAGAGGTGGGGGATCCTGCTTACAGGCTGAAGCTGGACAGAAGAACCTCCACTGTCCCACAATTTACCTGAAAGCAGCTGCAACCAATTAAGCTATGGGAACAGGACAGTGTGAGTACTTCTACATCCCCTGGGCCAAAGAAGGAAGAGGGTGGTCAGGTGCAATACCCAACTAGTTCTCCCTGGGACTACTTCATCTATAGATCTCAAAATCCCTTGCTTAGGGACACTGTCATAACAGCTAGGTGGAAGAGGAGAGTTTCATTTGGGGTCTGAGGAGGTTCACTAAGGGGACCAAGTGCTCCTTGCAAAGACTGTGTGCAGATTTTTGCCCTATTTGCTAAGAAGAAGTTTGTCCTCCAAAGTTGTACAGTTGCATTGGGCATCCCATATACCCCATCCCAATTGTTAACACCTAATAAAACAACAAAAAACAAGCTCAAGGACTGTTTTACTAACTTTGGCTGAAAGTGTGGAAAATGTGTTGCCTGGCTGTGCAAAGCTTAGGGGTACCCAAACAATCAGCAGCCATCGAGAGGGTAGCACTACATATAGTTTAAGCTGAACTCCAGGCATATACAAAAGACACACAATAGTACACCTCTCTGTTCATTAATAAGTCCTTAAATATTGTATAGGGTCAGCATCTGAATTTAACTTGTTCCCTGTCCATAGCAATCCCCCGTGTAGTAGTGCTCAGAAAGTAGGGAAAGAGAAGCAGCACAAGGAGCCAATCAGGTTTCCTGCAATGCAGAAAGCGTGCTGATAGGAGAAGAGAACAGAAAAAAATGAAAAGTGAACTTATCAGTGTGCTACTTCTACTTTCACTGTCCATTCACAGGCTGGGGGTGGGGTGGAGACCTGAAAGCATATACAAATAAAATCAGGTCTCGTGGCCCTGCCAGGCAGGGCTGTGCTATACGGCAAAAGCATGTAAATCTCAGGACTGGAGTGACAGGAACCCTAGGGTTCCATAGACCCCTGGTTCATAAACCCTGCTGTAAGGTCAGCATCTGAAATTAGATTAGTATCTGCCCATTGTAATCCCGTGTAGTAGATCTCAGAAAGTAGAGAAAGAGAAGCAGTACGGGGAGCCAATCAGGTGTTCTACAATGCACCAAGCATGCTGATAAGAGGAAACTGCAGAGTAACTGAGTAATGAGCTCACCGGTGTGCTTCTGTTCCTTTCACTGTCCAGTCACAGACTGGGGGTGGGGAGGAGACCTGAAAGCATATCAAAACAAAATCAGGTCTCTTGCCCTGCCAGACAGGGCTGTGCTATGAGGCAAAACCATGTAAATGTGAAGACTGGATGAACAGGAACCCAAGTTCAGAAACCTTGCTGTAGGGTCAGCATCTGAAATTAACTTATTATCAGCCTATAGCAATCCACTGCGTAGTAGATCTCAGAAAGTAGGGAAAGAGAAACAGTACAGGGAGCCAGTCAATTTTCTCGAATGCACTAAGCATGCTGATAGGAGAGAGCAGAGTAATCGAGAAATGAGCTCATCAGTGTGCTACTTCTCTTTTCACTGTACAGTCACTGGCTGGGGGTGGGGTGGAGAACTGAAAGCATATCAAAATAAAATCAGGTCTCCTGCCCTGCCAGACAGCACTGTGCTATGTGGCAATAGCATTTAAATCTCAAGACTGGAGTGACAGGAACCTTAGGGTTCATAAACCCTGCTGTAAGGTCAGCATCTGAAATTAGATTGGTATCAGCCCATTGCAATCCCCTGTGTAGTAGATCTCAGAAAGTAGGGAAAGAGAAGCAGTACAGGGAGCCAGTCAGGTTTCCTACAATGCACCAAGCATGCTGATAAGAGGAAACAGCATAGTATCCAAGAAATGAGCTCACCAGTGTGCTACTTCTCCTTTCACTGTCCAGTCACAGGCTGGGGGTGGGGAGGAGACCTGAAAGCATATCAAAATAAAATCAGGTCTCCTACTCTAACAGACAGGCTGTGCTATGTGACAAAACCGTGTAAATCTCAGGACTGAATGGAAAGAAATACAAACCCTTTGTCAGAGTAAACAACTATCATCTGGGTATTTAGCTGTTTGCCTGGATTTTAGCTTTGATTGCAAAGCATTTGTTGTGCTATTAATTTCATTTTGATCTAAGACATTGAATTTGGTATTATTAAGGATAATCACTGTCTCCCTCATTATCCCACAGATAAGCCTATTATTTGCAGCCTCGCGTAAGGATAAATGGTGAAAAATAACCACTTATAATAATTGTGAAGCAATGTCATCCTCCCTGTCTTCATTAGCAGCATTTATGTATCATAAGGAACTGCAGACCCCTTGTTGTAAAAGACGGTAATAAATACTCCCTAAGTATTCTGCTTTTTATCACAATACACAGCCCCCTCTTAACTTCTGATATCTTTTTAATTGAAGCAGATATTTAACCAACATACTCACCTGTTTTGCAGAATGACATGCAAGTCGGCGCAGCCATAATACTGCATGAACACACATCCAGCCTCATTAAAAGTCCTATAATAGCAATGTTAAAGAGGAACTTTGGGTTAAAGTGAGGAGGGATTAGAACCTGTGTCCAGTTACTAATGCTGTGTGTATCCCCACTAGTAAGAATTCTCTCTAATGACCCGTACACGCGATAAGTCTGAAAAATTTTGCGGAACCACTGATCGAATTATTTTCTTTTCGTTGATGAGCAGGATGTTTTAACCGATAACGATATTGTGAACGAAAAAAATCTGGTTGAACAACAGTGAAAAATGTTGTCGTTTGGCATACGAACGACCGATTTTCTATGCGGTGGTATGACGGTCGTACGAAAAAAATCTATCAAGCGCTATCACACATGAGCGGAAACAGAAGATGACCCGGATGTTTATGTCCAAGGAATCTTCATAAACACGAACGAAAAATCCAAATGTTAAAAGTAGATTGGCCCAATGAGATAATGAAACCAGAATTCTGCATATTATATTTTATGTATCACTATTTATGTATATAGGTCATGTAATAAACTGTATTATACTCATTGCTGGTAATTATTGTGTATATCGCTCGTTCTGGCCGGAAGGGCGCAGCTACAAGGTCACACGCACACTGCATCACTTCCACTTGTACGGAAGACGTCAACACTACGTATTGCCCGACAAACGATTTTTTTTAGATCGGTTAATGTGGGCCCCGATTTTGACCAACGAACAAATGCCTCTTGGTCGTCTGTTGACCGATCGGTCAATTTTCTAATCGTGTATTCCCACCTTTAGGCTAGGTTCACACCTATGCAGTTTGCGTTTGATCCATTTCTGCAGTGCGTTTTGCGTTTTTGCACGTGTTTTTGATGTGTTTTTGATACATTTTGCTTTATTTTTTTCTAGCTGCTAGGCAGATTAAAACGCATCAAAAACACAGCTAAAACGCACAACATGCTTTTCTGCAGCATTTCCATTGAAGTCTATAGAACCACAAACACAACGTTTTCTGTTTAAAAAAGTCCCTGAGCCTGGGTTCACACTTGTGCGGTGCGGTACATCGCATGTGATTCGCACAGGAACTGCACGGCATTCCTGTGCAAATTACATGCGAATTCTGTGCGGTTCGATTTGAGCCATAAATTTTGTATGGCTCAAATCATACCAAAAAGGTGTGCAGGACCCTTTTTTCTGGTATTCACATCCATGTGATTCGATTCTGCACATCGCAGTGCATTTTGTGGATGATTTCTGTGTGTTAGCATACACACCCGCAGCGGTTCGCCTGAACGAAGTGCAATTGTGATGCACGGCGTAATCCGCACAGAAACCGCTGCAAATTCTGCACCGCATCAGTGTGAATCCAGGCTGACCCTTTCCAAAAAACGCATCGGGTGAAAATGCGGAGATGTGAACGTGTCCCATACGAAATCATGTTAAATGGGCTGCTGTGCGTTTTCCACAATACGCTGCGGAAAACGCATAGGTGTGAACCTAAACTAAGGTATTTTTTTGTTTGTTTTTTTTTTTTAATTTACTGAAGGCAAATACATCCTGCCCTCTGCAAAGTGCAGTCGCACTCCGCAAACGCCGCCCCAGAGGTACAGCTTCACTTTTTAAAGAATACCCAATCAGGAGCAGTAAAAACAAAATAAAGCATTTTTGCCTGCATGTGATGGATGACTAAGGTATTGTTTATATGGGTCACCTGCCTGGAATTTGTTCTCCCTGTGTCTGCGTGGGTTTCCTCCGGGTACTCCAGTCTCCTCCCACACTCCAAAGACATGCTGGTAGGTTAATCGGCTCCTGTCGAAATTGTCCCTAGTATGTGTATGTATGAATGTGAGTTAGGGACCTTAGATTGAGGGTTAGGGACTGATGTGAATGTACAATATATATGTAAAGCGCTGCGTAAATTGCCGGCGCTATATAAGTACCTGAAATAAATAAATATGGGTGTAAAGAATGATGCCTTTGCTTTACTGTACTGGAGCAGTGGCGTACTGACAACTCATGGGGCCCCCGGGCAATAGGGGATCATGGGGTCCCTGTGTCCTTGCCCAAACTCAAAAAATCCTATGAAAAAGGTACCAGGGGCATCTCATGGGGCCCCCTACTGACCCCGGACCCCGGGCCCCTGTACTGGAGCTTTCCATTCCTTTTGTAAATCTAATGGCTGTTCTTCAACATAAACGCAAACATTCTAGTACACACATATCATTCAGAATATATCTGAGTCCACTGATCTCACCTATAATATCTGGCAGGCTAAGGCAACTTGCAAAGTTTGCCAAATACCTCAATTTAAGTTAATGACAGCTCATCCGAAGTGTGTGCCAAACGTGCCTGAGATGCTCATTAGGCGTTCAGGAGGACTTTATTTTTAATGCACTTCCTTCCAAAAATTGAAAAACCAAAAAAACTGCTTAACCATGCATTCTGAAAGCTTCAGAGAGAGTGTTACAACTTAGATGACTCCAGGGGTGGACTGACAACTCTTGGGGCCCCCGGGCAATAGGGGATCATGGGGCCCCTGTGTCCTTTCCCAAACTCACAAAAGCCTATGAAAAAGGGACCAGGGGCATTTCATGGGGCCCCCTACTGACCCGGGCCCTCGAGCAGTGCCCGAGTTTCCAAATGGTCAGTCCACCCCTGGATGACTCCTAAACTCGCCAAATATGCAAGGCAATACTACATAGGATTCATAAGTGGTCCTGCGCCATGACTACACAAAATGTGAGCTAGGACACATATAGCAAACAAAAACTTAAGGAAGGCTCTAGCCATCCTCACCTAAGCCTGGGTTCACATATATGCAGTGCGGCAAATCACATGTGATTCGCAGAGGAACAACACCGCATTCCTGTGCAAATCACATGCGATTTGTGTGTGGTGTGATTGGAGCCATACATTTTGTATGGTTCAAATCACACCACACCCGCACCAAAAACAAGCAGGACTCTTTTTGTGGTCCGCACTAGAATCGGATCGCATGGGTATTCACACCTACAGTATGCAATGCGATTCTGCACATCGTTTTGCGGACCGCTTTCACAGTGTTTTTAAACGCAACATACACACCCGCAGTGGTTCGCATGAACGGGGTGTGATTCTGATGCGGTGTGGAATTCGCACAGAAACCGCATAAGTGTGAACCAGGGCTAAGGGAGTACTTCTATTGCTCTCTGCCCTCATTGAAGACATTCTGCACAGTGGAGGCACAAGGAATTCTTTAATTTAGTTATCTATAGATCAAATCATGGACAGGTGAGTATATAACACCAGGAGGGACCTGGGGGCAAGTGGTGCTCTGATGTAAAGTGTAACTGCACCAAGACTATAGAAAGATATATTGAGTCAGTTACAGGGGTAGACTGACAACTCATGCGGCCCCCGGGAGATCATGAATAGGAGATCATGGGGCCCCTGTGTCCTTGCCCAAACTCAAAAAAGCCTATGAAAAAGGTACCAGGGTCATCTCATGGGGCCCCCTACTGACCCCGGGCCCTCGGGCAGTGCCCGTGTTTCCAAATGGTCAGTCCGCCCCTGGTCAGTTATTTTGTGCCCCCACGCCGCAAATAGGTATTCCAAACAGGTATGACCAGGATGAATTAATTGTTGCATTCTAAAGGTCCACATTAAAAACTGAGTTAAGCTGGCCATACACAGTTAGATTTTTTTTCATTCAGTCTTCAAGCAAAATCTAAGGCCCCATTCACACTATTGCATTGTGGGAATAAGCAGGTTTTCATGCACGTTGTCACAGCACACGGTACTGCGGTCTACTTGCAGCAATGCAATGTGATGACATTTAATTCCAGTTGTCGGCTGAACAGCAGCTGCATCCAATCAGATGCAGGGTGCGTTGGCTGGGGGGCCAGTCCTTGCATCTTACTGGACGCAGCTGTTGTTCAGTTACCTATTTTCCTTCCAGTGCTATCCATTTTTCAGTGTGAAGTGGGAGAGTGGCATCAAGGCCACCCATGTAGCGAATCTTGGCCAGACTGAGATTGAGCCCTGCAGTCTCTTTTGCAGCAGTTGTTTTCTTATTCCAGGTCACAATCCTGTGCAATGTCTTTTGTCTCTTTTGGTCAGTTGACCATGTTTTATACTATGATGTTTTCCCGGAAACTGCATATGCCGTCACAACCTTTAATACTGAACCTGGCGACACAGCAAATAAATTGGAAACTTCAGTCACAGAGGCACCAGCTGGCCAACATATACAATTTGCCCTCTTTGAAGGTCAGTAAGCACTGACATGACTCCATATTACTAGAAGTGCACACAGTGACTGACGAAAGTGAGGCTTCCCACCTGTTATCTAGGTGTCCCATCACACAGCAGAAGCAAAAGAATGGTCACTTCCGCTTTCATACCTGCAAATCCATTTTTTGTCTAACCCTTGTACTTGCATATTATGGCAACAGCCTACCACCCACATAGTGAATTTCAGATCTACTTTAACTTTAAGGGTCAATTCTGATATTTCAGTTTTTTAATATGCTGGTGAGTTAACCTGACAATTATTTCAATAATAATACAATAATTCTCATGGACCCCATTGGTGACATCTTTGCATTCAAATCCCTAGGTCTGCAAGGGGGGGGGGGGGGTGACCTCAGCCCTGTAATGGGGTCCTCTGTAAGCTAATACTTTTCCTCCTACTCCATACTATGGAGTCAGAAACTTACCATAATATGCAAGGCCTGGGAGCTATTTCCAGGTGCTTGTTCCAAGAACAAACTTGGCTGCCCATACTCCCGCTGGTAGGGAATATATTCTTTCCCCAACTTTAGCTCCCAGAGTCACACAGAGGGTTTTATTCTCCAAGTTACACAGGATTAATTTTTCCAATTTACACTCAGCCTTCTATCGAGTGGGTCTAATAGACACAGAGAAGTTCTGGAGGCCAGCTCTTCAACTGTAAGTCCAGCTCGTATCTCCCACCACAAGTTACCAGAAACCAGTACGACAAACATATGTTCTCTACTTTTCTTCAGCCTTTCCCTCCTTATATCAAGGAAGAGTCATGCCAGTTGAAGCTAATTAACAAGGAAAACTTTCCTGAAAAAAGTGTTTCAACATCAACAGTGATGCACTCTACATTCTTCATGGTCACTAACAGTGCTCATCACCTTGCTCCATGTTTTGGAGGAAGAAACTCAACTCTTCATCCCTTCTCCAGCATGGGTTGCCCTTTTCTCTCAAAGAGGAGCCTAAGTCCTAGGCACTCACATGTTTTGGCCTTAAACTTTTCCTTTCTCGAAAAGAAGTTTCTCCACAATCAGATTCTTCACTACACTACTACCTGGATTCTCACACATCTGCTATGTATCCCTCCATTCAAGGATGCTGAGTGACAAAGCATTCCCTTTGTAATAGCTAGGGGTGGACCATCCCATAAAGGGCGCTATATGCACACCTTTTGTGGCCCTTATGAGTGGCTCCCACTTCCCTTGCTGGATTTTTATCTAGTTTACATTATCGTGATCAAAACAGAAAGGGGGAGAAAAACAAACTCCCATGTGGCCAGGAACAGAGTTAAGGATCATAGGTGATCTCACTGTTGGAATATTAAAGACATCCAAGAAATCAGGGGATGTCTCAGCCCATCAAGCTACTCTTAAAGCCAAAATATCACTTTTGGGTGGATTGGCCCTTTAATCTGGTTACTGACAGGCTTGACATAAACATATTTCTTGATATAATTAGGGAACTAGCAGTTTTAACTTGGTGAAAGATTACCTTAAAATTGGTAAAAAAAAATATTTAACATGAATATACACACACATATTTTTTGGTTTTGGACCCTCTAATTTGTGGAATTCTAAATTCGTATGCTTTTGTTGTGCTTACATACCGTGTCCAATGTAGTGTTAAATTTGGGGATCTGCAATTTGTCACCAGTTACAAGAGCAGAGGGACTCCCTGTGCTTTTCATTCCCGTCTGAGAAACCAGGGAGGCCAGTGGTTTATCAAGAAGAGTTGAAAGATTCCTGCATTTTCCTCCGTCACATGTAATTAGACAATTGACATAAAATGACAACCCAGCTCAAAACCTTCTGCAGGTCTATTAAACAAGACATTGTTTTGCAGTTTCAGAAAGAACCTTACAATTAAACCCTTGTGTTGACAGGGAATTACGTCACTTTGCTGTTTAACAGCCCACAATCCCCACATTGGGGAGAAATTATTAAAAAAGTATCAGACTGCCATGCATTTTCCTTTAGGTATACTGTATTCAAAACAAATCACTAAACTCTTACATACAGGTGAAATTCGAAAAATTTGAATATCGTGCAAAAGTTCATTTATTTCAGTAATGCAACTTAAAAGGTGAAACTAATATATGAGATAGACTCATTACATGCAAAGCAAGATAGTTCAAGCCGTGATTTGTCATAATTGTGATGATTATGGCTTACAGCTCATGAAAACCCCAAATCCACAATCTCAGAAAATTAGAATATTACATGCAATCAATAAAACAAGGATTGTACATAGAACAATATCGGACCTCTGAAAAGTATAAGCATGCATATGTACTCAGTACTTGGTTTGGGCCCCTTTTGCAGCAATTACTGCCTCAATGCGGCGTGGCATGGAAGCTATCAGCCTGTGGCACTACTGAGGTGTTATGGAAGATCAGGATGCTTCAATAGCGGCCTTCAGCTCTTCTGCATGTTCGGTCCCTCATGCCTCTCATCTTTCTCTTGGCAATGCCCCATACATTCTTTATGGGGTTCAGATCAGGCGAGTTTTCTGGCCAATCAAGCACAGTAATCCCACGGTCATTGAACCCGGTTTTGGTGCTTTTGGCAGTGTGGGCAGGTGCCAAGTCGTGCTGGAAAATGAACTCAGCATCCCCATAAAGCTCGTCTGCAGAAGGAAGCATGAAGTGCTCCAAAATCTCCTGGTAGACGGCTGCGTTGACCCTGGACTTAATGAAGCACAGTGGACCAACACCAGCAGATGACATGGCTCCCCAAATCAACACAGACTGTGGAAAGTTCCCACTGGACTTCAAGCATCTTGCAGTGTGTGCCTCTCCATTCTTCCTCCATACTCTGGGTGCTTGGTTTCCAAATGAGATGCAAAAGTTGCTCTCATCAGAAAAGAGGACTTTGGACCACTGAGCAACAGACCAGGTCTGTTTTTCTTTAGCCCAGGTAAGACGCTTCTGACGTTGTTTGTTGTTCAGCAGCGGCTTGACAAGAGAAATACGACATTTGAAGCCCATATCCAGGATCCGTCTGTCTGTGGTGGCTCTTGATGCACTGACTCCAGCCTCAGTCCACTCCTTGTGAAAGTCCCCAACACTTTTGAATGGCCTCCTGACAATCCTCTCCAGGCTGCGGTCATCCCTGCTGCTTATGCATCTTTTTCTTCCACACTTTTCCCTTCCACATAACTTTCTATTAATGTGCTTTGATACAGCACTTTGGTAACATCCAACTTCTTTTGCAATTACCTTTTGAGGCTTTCCCTCCTTATGGAGGGTGTCAATGGTGGTTTTCTGCACAACTGTCAGGTCAGCAGTCTTTCCCATGATTGTGATTCCTACTGAACCAGACTGAGAGACCATTTAAAGGCTCAGGAACCCTTTGCAGGTGTTATGGCTTAATTAGCTGATTAGAGTGGGACACTTTGAGCCGAGAATATTGCACCTTTTCACAAT